CAGTGGTAGTTTACCCAGTGAGACGACGCTATGTGTATTTTACCTTTAGATCGACTCAATGCAGTGATTCCTAAACCTTTTCTCTGAGTTGGACCAATAGGAGGATCTTTTGAGACATTAATGTTTATGTTTCCTGCATTGCGTCATGGAATTGTATTGCAAGAAACAGCATATTTTGCCTATAATTCAATAGTTTAGCATGTTTGGAGGAAGATTTAGAGAAACAGATGGATCATTCTTGTTGTGTGGTTGATTGTTTGGCCTGGGGGAGGCTTGATAAAAGTTTTAGAGGAGTGTCCTTCGTATTGTGTATTTTTAAATCCATGGAGTTATGTTGTTTTTCGTGCTGATTCAGGTGTCTCTACCCGCGATCAATATAATAACACATAAAGAAATAAATAAGGACACTGATTCATGAAGACTTACCCGGTTTTGCATTAGCAGTGAGGATTTATCAGGTTTCTTTGGCCATCACCCACAGGTGATGAGAATGATGCTGTGGCTCTGCTCGTTGGGTTTGACTCCTGCTGTTAGCACGATCACGGCTTTCTGTTTTGCAGAAGACATCGGTCCAACTTTCCTTGAAATGAAATAATTGCAGGCCTCCAGAGTTTTGAAAGGGACCCGAGCTTTCTGTTAAATAGGAATAGATGTCTCCCCGGCAGATTTGTGGAAAAAACACCGGCTAATCAGACCAACGTTTTCCATCACCCCAGAGCTCATACAGGCTTTTAATAACTTTAACCTCCTTTAGCCATACATCTACATATACAAACACTGGCTTCTTGCACTAGAATATTTTATTCCCTTCAACTCAAACTTTTTTTTAAAATTATTTAGAAACATTTGATATTGAATTGAAGTAAAAACGATCTTTTATTTCTGTTTTTCTAGGAAACCTGTCAATATTTATATTTAATTTCATTTTACATCACACCAAATACAAATTTGGGTCTCAGGAGGTTAATTTTGTTTTCAATACAGATTTTAAGCTTCACTCTAAACCCCCCTTCTGCCTTTAGATTATAAAGTGTTCATATATCGGAGGTTTCCCCTGCAAACATGGTTGAAAGTGTATGTCGCGCATGGATAGCAGGCCATAATGTGTTTTTGCCACACAGCCACTCGCACATGCGCTTAAAAATGAAAAATAAATAAATTATATATATATATATATATATATATATGTATATATGTATGTATGTATGTATGTATGTATCAACAAAGAGCCTCCTGTTACATAGAGCTAAAACAACAATCCTTTTTTACAACCTTAGTTTCCATTTTTCAGCTTTTCAACTTCTGCTCATGACGGTTAACTGTGTTTTTAGTAAAACTTTCTCTAATAGTTGAAACTGAAATACCACTTTAAGGGCCCTGAGCGCCACCAGCGGACCCACAGTCTTCATGTTGGTCACAAACGTAGAGATTGGGACCTGGCCTTATTGTCACATTTAGTCAGGGTTAAAAGCATATAAATCTCCATCAGTAGTTGGGTGAAAGCTTTATTGCCCTCGCTCCAGTGAGCCAGTTGTGTATTAGCATAAAATAAAGCAATGGCTTTACATAGAAAGTAGATAATAGATGTGATTTGTTTCCCCAACGATGCCCTGAAGTAAAAGCTCGGCTGTTGTGTTTCAGTCAGAGCCGTGTGACGTTACTTTTACCTATGAGTAAATACAGACACACAGTCCTCCTGCCCTTTACTGACTTTATTGAGGCCATATAAATTACACAAACTCACCTTGTACAGTGGAGCATAAAGGGAGGTGATTATGGCCAGAAGTCTGCTTTATTAAGACCTCTGCTTCCACTCTCCTTTATTGAACATATAAATAAAACTACAGGTCTTATTGCCACTTTTATCGCTCCCTTATTGCCCTTGCTTGTAACATTTTAGCTAACAAAAGCCGCTTTACACACTACATGTTACTCCTCATCATGGCGCGCTCCAACTTTACCAACAGTCAACAGTGTGGAAAAGAAATTTCCTCTAATATTCCATTTACGAGGAATTAAAGCGCACAGTGCAACAAAATGGTTATTTACTCACAGGCTTTGAAGTTGAGGACCCAAGTGCTTCACAGTTGTGAAACTCATCAGTGAAGTTTATTGAAAATAAGTCTATTGGCCATCCATGTGTGTGTGTGTGTGTGTGTGTGTGTGTGTGTGTGTGTGTGTGTGTCTTCTAGCCTCATAAATCAGCTCCACCATAACGTGGACCTGGCCTCTTCTCTGTCACAAACCTCTGTGGGCTTTCCCACGCTGTGCTTTTTGTCTTTTCTCATAACTTCCTTTAGCTCAGCATAGCCACCTCCCTCACATGTTGTTTTCTGGGACTAATGAGGCGAGAATGGCGCTCTCGTTGCTGTGTGTATGCGACACCGGCCGGTCCTCACTGGAGCCTGCTTCTCGTCGTCATCGGGCCGGAGGACTGCTGAGCTGGTCACCTCTTGCTCCGCGGCTATCAGCTGAAGTGGCTCCGTGACAAACTCCAGAGTGTTGGTTTCCTCAAGAGGATAAGCAGAGCAAACTCAGCTGGGGATCATTGTTCCTGACCGGGGTTAATAATGCTGGATTATAGCAAACTCAGCAGTTTAGCTGGGTGAGTCACGTACAAGAAGAAACAAGCAATGTGAGCCTCAAGGAACCTTGAATCTGCTATTAATAATAATCTATGACAAGCGTTTTCCCTTGGGTGGATTTTATGTTTATTTGCTTTGAAACATGATTTAAAATCAAGATGGAGAAGAGTTACGAGTTCAAAACGTGGCAAAAATTAAGCTTTGATAATAACTTCTCACAAATCAGCTGACTTCAAACCTCAAACTAAATTTGCCTCCCTGCTGTTTGGAAACGCTTAGTGGATCATCGCTGGGGGGTAAAAACAAGGAACAAACATTTGATTTAGGATGTTTGTAGTGAAACAAATGGTGCTAACAACCCCTGCTGTCCTAGAGAGACACCACTGCAACAAAATAACTCCCCGCTGCAGGAAGCTGATTAGTCCTGAAACCCTGTTTGCGACGTCCTGCCTCCAGAGGCTCACCACTGTGTTCTGACACCGTCTGCTCATGATTTGTACAATTTAGAGAGCTTCTTCTTCGGTTAAAAGTTTGTTTTGGGTCGAGACTGTTTCCAGCTTTATCTTGTAGAAGCCTGGGTATGTCAGCAATAAATGTAAGGGGTGAATGTACTTTTAAGTGAGTGCCAATCCAGCAGGGTATAACATGATCTTTGGGTTATATCAGGGGTGGGGAACCCTGGTCTTCGAGGACCAGTATCCTGCATGTCTTTGCTTCAACACTTCTGACTCAGTGGTTGATTCACCTGTTCTGCAGCTCTGCTAAAGCCCATTAATCACCTGCTGATTGAAATCAGGTGTGATGATGCAGGGTTGAAACTAAAATATACTGGATAGCGGCCCTCGATGGACCAGGGTTCCCCACCGCTGGGTTATAGACTCATTTTTGGGAGTCTAGTTATTTCTTATTGGTCAGTCTTGCCTTTTGTGTTGATTTTATTTTGTTTTCCTCCGTGTGTTGTCCTAATATCATCCTACTCAGCAACCAAACACATGGCAACAGCTCAATGCATTTGGGCAGCCAAATACATGGAATTTTAGGTCAAATTCAAATTATGCCTCATGAGAATGAAAGGGGATTCAAAGTGATGTTGTGTAGTTTTTACCATTATTCTCTGGAAATATCCATCAAATTTGTTGAAAATGAATTAAATGATGTCCAGTTGTTGAAAAGTATTGGCGGCTTCGTAACGTATAACCATTAAAATCTAGTCTAAAATACAAGGGAGGGGCTGTAAGGGTGTTTCTAAATGCCAAGGTACCTTGCCTTGATGTGTTGGCCCCGCCCCGACTGCCTTGGAGATACGTCATCAGGAACCGCCAATACGTGTTCCAATGTTCATGTTCCACCGAGGCGTCTGTTCGTTTGTTAGCCATTTAGCTAGCTGAGCGAGGATACACTGGAGGTGTCTTGTAGTCTAGCCTTGGGCAAAAATTACCCAGAATACACAGCAGTATTTTTAAAAGGACGGCGGTTCAGAAGCCGGCAGCTACTTCGGGGTCAAATTTCAAGTTTAAATGTAAGTCAACTAATTGTAGCAATCGGGCTGATATCTGAAAAGCAGACCTTTTGAAATAGCATAGTAAGTGTGTTAACAAAGGTTGCATTGCACTCCTGTTGAATGATAGTTTCTCTGTCAAACTATTACAAAGCTTGTTGTCTGAATGGAATCCAGCTTTTAGTTTTTACACCAGTATTTTCCTCATTTTGCCTTCATGTGCATGACTCTTCATATTGTCCGATACGAAGTCAAGAAATGCAGGAATAACTGACAAAAAATGAAAAGAAATAACTAAAACCACAGTTAACACCCTGTTAGGACAATAAGAGAGAAGAATGATTATCGCCCTACAGATGTGTTTATTCCCGGTGAAACATCCTGGAAACAACCTCAGGATTAGAGTTTACAACAGCATCAGACTATCCCTCAGTTGTGTGGAGATCTATGCATCCGGAGTGGTGATCACTTGCTTTGACACAACAGTTCCCACCGCTTGATGCTTCAGGTTGTTGTTTAGTAGAGTTGTAAACATGTCTCTATGGCTGAGAAGACAGGCACCATTATACTGATAGCCTCTTAAAAGGCGGTGGACACATGCCCAGAGTGTTGGAGTGGATAATTGTCAGGCAAGACACACGAAATACTTTCAGAGAGCCTTGTTTGTGGGTTGTGAATTATTAAAGCCGTGACATATACAAACACTGTAATTCTGTTTTAAGTGACACATGGAAGCAGCGTAACTGTCAGGTTGTGTTCTGATGTTATTAATGAACACAGAGCGTGGGATTAATAGCAGGGATGACATTTTATCTGTGTTATTTGGAAAATAAGGTGTGCTTCTACTGTAGGTTTCTGTTTGCGGATGTTGAAGAAATGAGGAGCATCACCACGTGGTTTTGTGTTTTCCTTCACAGGGAATCCTCTGAGTACACTTCATCAACACGGAGCAACAGAAAAGCAGAAAAGCTACGAGACGACGGTGCCTCTTCATCTTGTTGGAGAAGATTGGAAGCCAGTCAGCCAATTCAAACCGCAGGTGAATGTACGGAGCTAAACAAATATGTTTGCCTCTCTGGTTTGTAGGACTTGACGTGTCTCTGCGTTGTTTGGTCTTCTTACAAAAGATCAAATTCACAAAAAGCAGGATAAACGTTTGAAATCTACAGAAAACTTCATTGATTTTCAAATAAATAAAACCTATTTTTACTGAAAATACTGCAAAAAAAAAAAAGCATCTGTGGACTGGCAAAACAGGTGGAAAAATGTTTTTGTTTTGTAAAAGGAGTGCTTGCTGAAACATACTTCAGGCTTGTTTCCATTGTTAGAACTTCAGGGTAATTTCCGGAAGCAGGAAATTGACCGCAAGATACGATGGCTCGGTCCTCTTAGCTGTTGTGTCTCCGTACAAATTCAGCCCTTCCAGAATTTTTATAAGACATCAGCATATCGCAAATGTCTCAGCTGTAAGTGATGTTACCGATCAGCACCAAACAGCATCCATAGGCATTAATAAAATGATAAGTTGTATTGTGTCGAAGGACGGCATAATTTAATCCATTGGAAGAACCAGGAGAGCTGCTGTGGGATGTAAAATGTGGCGTTCAATGACCAGGAGAACTGTCGTGTGAGAAAACGGAATAGTAATGTCTAAACAAAGACAGAGAAATGGTGACAGAACATCTTTGGCTATAAATTAGCTTTTGATTAGCTTTTAGGAATTCTAATATTCTAACAAAGCAGAAGAAGAGAAAGGATTTACAGGAAATGGCCTTGTCAGATTGTTGTTTAGAGACTCGTTAAGAGCTGATAAAACTCAATGTGATTATTCCCCCATTCCAGCTTACTGGAAACACACAAAGTCAAACTAGGAATGCTTCCAAAGTAATTCTAACAACTGTACTAGTTCCAATGAAAAAATGTCTTCAGAAGTTCATTTAGCCCTTTCTCATGTTTTGCATGACATTTCTTTGTAGCTGGAAAAGGCTGCACTGCTAATGGCATGCTGCATCTTAAAGTCAACATTTTTATCAAATCATTACCAAAGTAACACTGAGATTATGTGCCTTGCAAAGAATAAAAGCCCTTTACTGCATGTAGTGTTTCTAGTTTAAAAGCATTTTCAATAATGGTTCTAAAAAAGATTTATGCATCATAGGTCATGATTGTGTAAGAGGAATGCTTCAGCACCTGAACCGTCTGCAGGTGGTTCAGAATGCCTGTGCTCGGCTTCTGACCAAGTCCTCCAAACACACCCACATAGCCCCGCTTCTCCTCCAGCTTCACTGGCTGCCAGTCAACTTCAGGGTTCATTTCAAGATCCTGGTTCTGGTCTATAGGGCCTTACATGGACAAGCACCATCTTACATTGGTGATCTTCTTAGTCCCTACACCCCCAGCAGGTCCCTGAGGTCCAGTGATCAAAGCCTACTGGTTGTGCAACGCACCAGGCTAAAGACCAAAGGTGACAGACCATTTGCTGCTGTGGCCCCCAGACTCTGGACCTCTCTCCCCCTGAGACTGAGATCAGTGGACTCAGTGGTCTCCTTTAAAAAGCAGCTGAAGACTCACTTGTTCAGGCTGGCTTTTGTATGACCTTCTTCACCCTCTGCTCTCCCTACCTATTCCACCTTCCTCAGGATCCACTGATTTCCCTCTTTCCTATTTACTCTCACTCTTTCTTTACATTTTTAATCACTATTGTCTATTTTTTGCTCATTTTAAATATATTTTAACCATTTTCTAAATTCTTTTTTAAATTTTTACATTTTTTGTTTTTGTGAAGCGCCTCGTGATTTTTAACTTGAGAGACACTATAGAAAAGATATTTTCTTCTTCTTCTTCTTCTTCTTCTTCTTCTTCTTCTTCTTCTTCTTCTTCTTCTTCTTCTTCTTCTTCTTCTTCTTCAACCCGAACCATCAGGTCCACACACCAGAACCTTCTAGAAGTTCCAAAGACCAGATATTAAAGTCGAGGTGATCACACCATCCAGACCGTTGTACCCCAACTTTGGGATGATCTTCCTTTATCCTAATGTAGCATTGACAGTCTGGACACTTAAAAAAAACAGCTAAAGACCCTTTTAATTAAAGCTGCTTTTACTTTAATCTTTAGTTTTCTTATTTTTAACTCAAATTTGTGATCATCTTTCATTTGTTTTACTTTATTTTTTTCTGATGTTAATCTATTTCCGTTTTAAGATCGTTATGTTTCATTTTGTTTTGATCTATGTGAAGCAGTTGGTGATTCTGTCTTTATCAAGTACTATATAAATAAAATTAACTTACTTTACTTACTACTAATTTATAAAGTTTCATGTCTATTGGCTGTAGTGGCAGTCATCTTGAATGGAATTGACATTAACTGTAACAGATGTACATCTAATGATGTAATGATTCTGTCCAGTAGTGTTTGAGATATTTTGGGAATAGACTGACAGGTTGGACTAAAAATGGTAATTCCAAGTATGTAAACACATATTTTGTGTAATCAATTTTGACCAACACTGGTTGAGAAGAGAACCGAGCGCATCACTCCTGTTCTGAAACCCCTACACTGGTTACCAGTGAATGAAAGAATCTATTTCAAAGTGCTTCTACTAGTTTATAAACCACTTAATGGCATGGGGCCAGAATACATGTTGGATCTCCTTCCTGTACATACACCCAGCGGGGCTCTGAGATCCTTAGGAAACAGTCAGCTAGTAGGACCTCAGGTCAGAACCAAACAGGGTGAAGCTGCTTTTAGCTACTATGCTGCTCACAGATGGAATCAGCTTCCTCATGACCTCAATGTGCCCCAACTCTAGTAACTTTTCCCACTGTCCAAAGACCTAGTTTGGACGTTCCACAGATGTGGTCTGGACCGACGGACTCAAAACAGACATGATCTACACATCCATGCGACGTTGACTGTTGGCAGGGTCAAATCAAAATGGAAAACCTTCTTGTTTTCATCAGCCTTTGAAGGAATGTTTTTTACACATTCTCCACTGTAACTGCTCACCCTTTAACTTTAATTTTACCTTTCTTTTAAAATTTTTTATTGTATTTTGTCATGTTGATTTTAATGTGCTTGCTATTCTTGCTAATGGAAAGTACATTAAATTGCCTCTGTGAATAAAATGTGCCTAAAAACCACAATCAAGCAATATAATATTTTCAGCTCTTCTCTGTGCAGTTTTCCATTTTTTGTTCTATTCTCAAACTGCAGAAATGAAACGGCATCTGCCAGAAACCTAAAAAAACAGCATCTAGCTTATTGACTCAATTCATTTGTGAATTAAAATCTTCTGGTTAAGACTAACAAGTTGTTTCTCAGGGGATTATTTCACCCCTCAACAAACAAAACAAAATCTCTGATCAGTCGATGGGATGAAACTCCAAACAAAGGTGACTCTTAGTGCTCCTTTAAATGCATAAAACCCCAAATAATAAGTTCAGCCATGCAGGGCGTATATTTTCTCTGGAACTAAGAATGCTGGAGTGGATTTAACAGTTTGAGTCTAATCACACGTTTGGAAACGTGTCGGGGTGGAAATATAAGCTGGGGATCACACTGCCTTTAACCTTAAGTGTTCCACTTCCATATCCTCTTATGATCCACTTGACATTCTTTTTTTCACAAGGGGTGATGGATGACTTAACCCAGAGCAGTGCTCTATACACTGGAGCTGACCCAAATTGAACTACATGAGCTGAACGTTTGTGCGTGTGTGTGTGTGTGGCTAAAAAATATAGGAAATATAAGACAGAGGGAGGATTTCTTCAGTTTTTGTGTCTTTTTGTGCCTTGTGCAAGTGTGTGGTTGACTGACAGAAGTGATATATGAAGCAGAGCCACTTCATCTGACTCTAACAGAGACACACGGGCTGTGTGACTGCAGGCGTTCTGCAGGATTAATGTCAAATGGAATAGAAACACAAAGCTAATCCTCCCAGCTCTTGTTCTAAGATACAGAGTAGCTTCATAAAGATTCCTCATCAAGTGAACAGTGGTGTTCTTGGATGTTTTCTCACCGTGCCGGTGGCTCCGTTAAAGTTTCAGCTAGAATTGTTCACTCCCACCCACAAGCTTTTTTAAAGAGTCACTTTAATATTCTCGGTTTGATTTGTGTTGTTGAATTTAATCCCATGCCAGCTGACGCTTTCAAATGCATTTTTTCATTGACTGTGTGACTTAGGTGGAAGTTTGTTTGATTTCTTGTCGTTTTTGTTGTCGTCTCAGGATCACCCCGCATCGCTGAGGCTCCGGGTGGAGGTGGAAGGTGAGCGGCTGCTTCTGGCTCTGGAGAAAAACGAGTAAGTGTCCCAACATTCAGAGTTTAACTTCTGACTGAATGCTCTCCAGAGTACAAATAGGTGACATATGCCCGTGCCCAGAGGCTACAGCTGTAGCCAGGATAAAAGGTGGGATGAAAGGAGGGCAAAATAGTTTTTTCTGTTAGTGTAATGTTACTGTGGCAGAACTGTCTGTGCTTTAGTCATTTTTCTCATTTTTCAGTGCAGAAAAAATACTTAAAAGATAAAAAATAAACTGAATAGATCAGCCAGACGTTGATAAAAAGCGACATCTTCCTCCTCCGTCTCGCTCAAGTCTTTTCATTTGATCCACCAACATAAAACGGAGGAGAACGTCTTCTTTGAACACAGAAGACTCTTGGTGTTAGTCGGGTGACTCACCCGATGGTTGAACATCTTCTGAACGAGATCAGGCCACAGACACCGTTTGTTGCCGCCGCAGAGCTGTGACGCGTTTTGGATTCATATTCGTCATCCTTGCATTTTATAAACGCACTTCAGTGTGGCCTCGGTCTCCATCGTTCTGGAGCGAGCAGCTGAGAAGAATGGGACATGATTGATGGGGCAATATGTTTTCCATCCAGCTCTGCTGCCACACATGAGCAGCCACCAACAAGCAGAGCTGTCTGCGTGATGGAGAGGGGAGAGGGAGGGAGGCAAACTGAGGGAAAGCGAATGGGTTTTTCATACCACTGTCAGCCATGAATCTCACTTGTTTTCCAGACTTAATGTATGTAAATTCCACCTGCAAAACTGTGGGACAAAGCTTTCAACGCCGGAAACTGCAATTTTATGGCTTGCCTACTCTGGAAATATTTTCATTGGAAATCATATTCTCACTTGCTTTGCACAGGTGGGGATTTTGCAGAGCTGACTTGCAGATTGTAAGAAGTTGCGAGTGAAAAGCACCTTAACATTCACCCGTGTGATCCTCATGCAGCATGGATGCCTGCGTCGTCCCAGGGCATTAAGTTTTAACGTCTGGATTTGAGCTAAAATCCACAGCTGAGGAAGAACAAAAGGAGACGATGGAGGGCCGAAGCCTGAAACACCAGCTCCTCAAAATTTACTGTCGACACTCGTGGCAAGTTTAAAAGAATCAAGGTTTAATTACTCATAAAACGCCTAAAACAATACCTCATCTAAACGCTGTTTCATGTAAGTTCAAGAAAACCAAACACTTAGAGGGAAGTGGATCAGTGTGTTGGCTGGGATTGGAGTGTTACAGCCAGTTCTGAGCCCGCTGGGCTGACATTTAGTGGAGGCACTTGTCTGAGGCTGCTGAAAGACCGCCGCTGATGAAATCCAGTTGTTCAAACACAGTCGGCATCTGCAGAGAAGAAGGGGGGAGAAGAGGTGGTTCAAAATGAAATGATGCGCGTTAAAAGCCTGGCTTTTTTTGTTTTTACCAGGTCTCCTTTAATAAATATGGAAGGCAACAAAACATGTGGGAGGAGGTATCCTGCAGAGCTCAGCATGATCATTTCATTTGCACCGAAGGGTGGGCATGGCTGTGTGGGAATTTCTACCGCTGCTGGAGTGGGCTGCTGTGCAACGCCAGCCGGGGTGAAAACTGCTCCTGTTTTTGACAAAAGGCATCATTACTCTCTTGGAGCCAAACTAAAACAGTACGGACGTGTTAATGGAAGTTAGATAAGAAAAACGACATCTTAAAGAAAATGTTTTAGTCACAGAGAGGCTGGACTCACTGTTCGAAAAATATGTCACGACGACAAAGATGGCAGCTTAATTTTCACGCTCCCGAACAACTTTTAAAATAACCCTGACAAACGTCTCAAATCAAACTAGAAATATGCAAGAAAACAAGATGGAAAACAGGGTAGCTACACAAAGTAGGAAAACTTTGCCTTCAAATGTTAATGTGGAAGAATCGGCGACACAGGACAAAGCGAACCGGGGTAACTCGCCACCGAAGGATTACTACGACGAGGACGGGATTGGAGAAACTAGCTTGCAAGGCATACTGAATGATTTGAGGGATTTCAGACGAGATAAAAAACATCAACTGACAGAAATTAAACAAGAGCTGCAGAGAACCAATGACTGACTGGAAGAAGCAGAGGAACGGATCGAAGAAGCAGAGACAGCCCTGCAGGCCACAGCAACCATGATAAAAAGGCTAACCCAGCGTCAGGCCGAGATGGAAGCTAAACTGTTGGACCAGGAGGGGCGCGCACGCAGGGACAACATTCGGGTGTATGGAATACCTGAAGAGGCAGAAGGCAACGACGCTCCCGGTTTTCTGGAGAAAGATTTGACAGAGTCGCTGGATTTCCCACCGGACACGGCTTTGCAAATTGAAAGAGCCCACAGAGCATTAGCTCTGAAGTCCACCAACTCCGCGGGGAAACCCCGGTCGATAATCGCAAAAATAGCAAGCTACAAGCTGAAGGAAGTAGTGATACACAGAGCCTGGCGAAAAAAGGAGGTGTTTTATAACGGAACCCGCTTCTATGTGGATCATGATTGTCCCACTCAGGCAATGTGCCGAATACGCGGAGGCAAAAATAATCTTAAAAGAAAGAAAAATAAAATTTCAAACCCCACACCCAGTTAAACTGAGAGTTTTCTACAGCGACGGCAACCGCCTGTACAAAAATGCAGCGGAAGCAACAGAGGACATGACAACACGGGGCTTTCCAGTCACCATCGTACCCTCCAGAACCAACCCGGACCAACGGGATATCCAGCGACTATTAACATGGCAGGAGATGGGGAGCAGAGGCGTCGGGACGGTGATCATCCCAGGAGGGGCAGCGGAGCCGGCAGCGGAGCCGGCAGCGGAGCCGGCGCCGGAGCACCGGGAGAAGAGGAGCATCCGACCGCTCTACAAAGAGAAACTGCAGGCGTTCAGACGAGGATCCCCTCGCTGAAGATGGAACAGTGAACAGGACAGATAAGTCGGTTCAACAGAACTTTTGAATTCTGATTTAACTCAGAAGTATTCTCGGAAGTATACCTTGGTAATAGGACTTATTAACCCCACCTCTTCAATTTTAGTTGTGAACAATTTCTTTTTTTTTTTTTTTTTTTACATACTTTGTATGGTAATGCTGATTTACAAATGATAGCTTTTCTGGCCCAACTTTGTAAATAAGCTTTGTCAAATAATCGGGAGATACAACAAGGAACAGCGGGGAGAGTTATACAAAGGCAGCCACCTTAAAGGGCCCCACTCAATATGAGCAGCAGGATGTCCCTTTACAGAAGCTCTAACAACATCAAGAGCTGTTTAAAGGCTTACTTGACACAAGCCTCAACATTGGAAGCGGGTTGGTGTAAGAAAAACACAGACGTCTTAAAGAAAGTACCTTTTGTTCTGTTACTGTTCTGTACTGTTTATGTTTCATGGTTCACAACGTTCAGAGTCGTGTGCATTTGTCATTTCCGTATCTACATAGAAGATAATCTAACAGGGAAAACATCAATAAGGAAATATGGTGGATAGCTGTACATTAAAAATTATGTCCTTTAACATTAATAGAGTACTGAACCCAGTCAAAAGGACTAAAATACTGAACAAAATTAAAAAAGAAGCTGCACAGATCGTAATGTTACAAGAAACACATCTGAATTCTAAAGAGTACAAAAAATTTAAAAAAATTAAAAACGTGGTTGTAATTATGTGTTTCATTCATCATATAGACATGTGCATAGAAGAGGGGTGGCAATTTTAGTATCCCAAAAAATCTCCTTTGAGCTCCTCTCTGAAACAAAAGATAGAGAAGGAAGATATGTTCTAATCCAAGCCAACATAGAAGGTATCAAAATGACACTTCTAAACATTTATGCCCCTCCAGGCTCAGATCTCCCTTTTTAAAGGAAAATGTCATCTGTGGAGGAGACTGGAATGTGAAGCTCAACCCAAAACTGGACTCATCAAAAGACTCTCCCCAGTCTCCTTTACAAAAGAAATTGAAAATATATATGTCGGAAATGGGAATAATTGACCTCTGAAGAAGTTTACATCCAACAAAGAAGGATTATACACACTACTCTCATTCCCATGCAACTTATGCTAGAATTAATATTTTTTTCATATTTAAAAAATATCTTCACAAAATTCATGATTGTGAAATAGGCAGCATTGATCTGTCTGACCATGCACCACTGTCTTTGGAGTTAAAAATGAACAAGAGACCTGGTAAAACACAATGGAGGCTAAATTCAAGCATTCTCAATGTTCCACAATTTAAGACGCACATTAAAGAAGAAATTATAAACTTCCTTAAAACCAATAATAATGGGGAAGTTAGTCCTGAGATAGTGTGGGATGCATTAAAGGCCTACAATGGGGGAAAATTATTTCTTTCTGTTCATACAGAAACTAACAAAGACAATCTCAACTTAAAACCTTAACAAAAGAGATAAAGGAAGTGGAATTAAAACATAAGAAGGAACCAAACTCAAATCTTATACCAAGGCTAAAAAAAGTTAAGAAATGAAATAAATGCGCTGCTTTCACAGGAAATTGAGAAAAAAAAAAGGTCTATACAAAGCAACGTTATTACGAGGCAGGGGCTAAATTCTCAAAGTTCCTGGCAAGGAAACTGAAGAAACAACAGGCAGATAACACTATCTATAGAATAAGAGACCCAGACTCTAATACCTTGGTAAATACACAAGACAATATACAAATAGCTTTTCTAAAAGATTATCAACAATTATACTCACAACCTAATACAAAGGATGAACAAAAAATTACAAAACTATTGGAACCCCTGAATTTACCCTCCTTATCACAAGATCAGGAGGTGCTTCTTTCAGCTAATATCACAAAGAAAGAGATTGAAATCGCAATAACTAAATTAAAAACAAACTAATCTCCGGGTCCTGACAGCTACTCATCTGAATGGTGCAAAACATTCAGAAATGAATTGGTTCCAATCCTCCACCAAATATTCGATGCAGCCTTAAAGGAAAGCAGAATACTGCCATCATGGGGAGAAGCCACAATCTCCGTCATTCCTAAAGAAGGA